GTGGGAAGTGGGAAGGGGAGGGGAATCTGGAACTGAAACAGAAGGGGTGATGGGGAGAGGAGAGGGAGGAGTAGGAATAGAGGGAGATGCAATGAGGGGAACAACGGGTGAAGGTGGGAGGGGAACAGGAATAGAAGGAATGTCAGGGAAAGGAACGAGGGGGGTGACAGGGGAGGCAGCAGGTGAAGATGGGAGGGGAGCAGGAATAGGAGGAATGATAGAAGGAGATGGGAGAGGGGTGATATCGGAAGAAGTGACGGGGGAGATAGTAGAGGGACGGGATTGGCAGTAACAAGGGAAGGTAGAAAAGAGACAGGACCAGAGGGAAATGGGAGAGGGGCTGAGGTAATGGGAATGGCGGCATGAGGCAGGAGAGGGACGGGGTAATAATAAGATACAGAGGGGTTGGGACAGAGGAGTCTACGCCAACTGGAGGTGGCGACTGGGTAGTGACGGGAAAGGCGGGCGAGATTTATTCACAGTGCTCTGGGCGCCATCATAGGGCGGTGGTCGGGGAACATCAAGAGATGAATCATCATTGCAAACATCTCTGTGATATACATAAACCGTTTGTCCTTCAAAATCTAGTTCTTCCTCTGACCAACCCTCCCACTTGAGCCCCCTTGCTACCCGATACCAAGCCTCTAGGGCTTTCGTTAACCTGTTATCCAGTAACAAACCCTCTTTATCAACAAGTACTTTCCTCCAAAACTCTGGTTATAATCTACCACTGGGTGACATTTGAAAACCATGAATCTTTGCTATCTTCTTCATTTTTAACATAGCCTCTTCTCATGCTCTCTCCTTAACAATATCACAAGCTAAATAGCCTTTAGAAGGTCTGGCATGTTCTTGTCCCATTTTTACCAAACAAGGCTGCCCACGTACGAGGGACACAGAGAGAGAGAAGAAAAAGAAGGAATGTCTACAGTATTGATCCTCGTGCGTCTTCCCAAAACGTAGACTAGTCACGGGATCCGCCCACCCGAGATGGTGGCTACGGATCTGAGTGGGTGAGTGTGGGTGACTAACACAGCTCTGGGCAGCAAGTACAGAAGAGGTAGAGAATAAGGGAAAAGGTGAACGTGGAGAGACTAATCAGAAGACATTTACATCATCTAAGTCACAACAATAAACAATCACAGTCTGCTTAAACTAATAACACACAAAGAATGACATGTTGCCATGTTTTTATTGAACACACCATGTAAACATTCACAGTGCAGATGGAAAAAGTATGTGAACCCCTAGACTAATGACATCTCCAAGAGCTAATTGGAGTGAGATGTCAGCCAACTGGAGTCCAATCAATGAGATGAGATTGGAGGTGTTGGTTACAGCTGCACTGCCCTATAAAAAACACACACGTGTTCTGGGTTTGCTTTTCACAAGAAGAATAATGTGAATGATGCCTTGCACAAAAGAGCTCTCAGAAGACCTACGATTAGGAATTGTTGACTTGCATAAAGCTGGAAAGGGTTATAAAAGTATCTCCAAAAGCCTTGCTGTTCATCAGTCCACGGTAAGACAAATTGTCTATAAATGGAGAAAGTTCAGCACTGCTGCTACTCTCCCTAGGAGTGGCCATCCTGTAAAGATGACTGCAAGAGCACAGCGCAGACTGCTCAATGAGGTGAAGAAGAATCCTAGAGTGTCAGCTACAGACTTACAAAAGTCACTGGCAAATGCTAACATCCCTGTTAGCGAATCCACAATACGTAAAACACTAAACAAGAATGGATTTCATGGGAGGGTACCACAGAGGAAGCCACTGCTGTCCAAACAAAACATTGCTGCACGTTTACAGTTTGCACAAAAGCACCTGGATGTTCCACAGCAGTACTGGCAAAATATTATGTGGACAGATGAAACCAAAGTTGAGTTGTTTGGAAGAAACACACAACACTATGTGTGGCGAAAAAAAGACACAGCACACCAACATCAAAACCTCATCCCAACTGTGAAGTATGGTGGTCAGGACCTGGACAGATTGCTATCATCGAAAGAAAAATTAATTCCCAAGTTTATCAAGACATTTTGCAGGAGAACTTAAGGCCATCTGTCTACCAGCTGAAGCTCAACAGAAGATGGGTGTTGCAACAGGACAATGACTCAAAACATAGAAGTAAATCAACAACAGAATGGCTTAAACAGAAGAAAATACGCCTTCTGAAGTGGCCCAGTCAGAGTCCTGACCTCAACCCGATTGAGATGCTGTGGCATGACCTCAAGAAAGCAATTCGCACCAGACATCCCAAGAATATCGCTGAACTGAAACAGTTCAGTAAAGAGGAATGGTCAGGAATTACTCCTGACCGTTGTGCATGTCTGATCTGCAACTACAGGAAATGTATGGTTGAAGTTATTGCTGCCAAAAGAGGTCCAACCAGTTATTAAATCCAAGGGTTCACATACTTTTTCCACCTGCACTGTGAATGTTTACATGGTGTGTTCAATAAAAACATGGCAACATTTCATTCTTTGTGTGTTATTAGTTTAAGCAGACTGTGATTGTCTATTGTTGTGACTTAGATGATGATCAGATCACATTTTATGACCAATTTGTGCAGAAATCCATATCATTCCAAAGGGTTCACATACTTTTTCTTGCAACTGTATATATTTGAGCAAGAGCAATCTTGGCATTTTTACTATGCCTTTGCTCAGTCACATTTTACAATTCTGATTGTGTGCACCCACACACATTATGCACCAGTTTTAAAAGTCAGATAGGGCTTTCCCTATTTTTTGTTCATTTCCCAATTACTACAATGCACCAAAAACATGTTTCTAATTTTTTTCTTGCACTTACACTGCAAAACTTGAAATATGTGAACTTGTTTCCAAATATTCCAACCACTGCAAAGTTAGTTACTTTATTAACCCCTTAACCCCTTAACGACGAGTGACGGACAAGGTCCGTCACTCAGGGGATTGCCATAACGTTAAAATATTAGAGGCAGACCGGAAGCACCCGATAGTGCTGCCCCAGCACATGTGCTCGACTCTGACAGCATGTCTTTAAAAAGTTAAAAATTAAACTAAAAAAAGTTTCAATAACGTTTAAGTAAAAAATAAAAGAACACCCCCTTTACACAGTCCAAATAAAAATTAACCCCTTCCCTGCCAGTCAATCACTGCCTACAGTGATCGAAATAAAGATCACAGTATTATACTGTGATCTAATTTGTTTTAACCCCTGAGGATTAACTTTTATTTATTTTTTAACCCTCAGGGGTTCCATTTATTTACTTAATTAATTTAAATATTTTATAATTATATATTTTGCTAGCTGGGGTGGGTGGGAGTTATGGGAAAATGTTAAATCTGTAAAAAATGTTTTAAGAAAATTTAGGAAAGTTTAAAAAAATTAATAAGCAAAACAAAAGTTTAAAATCTAGTTTATAAAAGTAAAAAAGTTTCAAAAAGTAAAAAAATACTACTCTCAAAATTCTACTGTGAATACTGAAAAGAACAGGCCTCCTATATGGCACTGTAACTTCGTGAAATAGTGCCAAAGACATACAATGGGGGTGTCATTTTACTCAGAAGATGTAACTGAACACAGAATAAAACTTTGTACAGGAATAGCACACACCAACTTTACAAAATACACATGAGAATTTCTTTGTTATAAGTTTGACCCCGAACCCCATTGAAGTCAATGGGAACCCAAACTTTTGGGCACTAAAATGCCTCTAAAAAAGTCCTGGAAAGGGCTAGAGGGCTGCAAAAGGAAGTAAAATGGGGGTAAGAGTAGGACACGTGCCCTGCAAACAAATGTGGATAGGGAAATAACTTAAAGGAACACTATAGTCACCTAAATTACTTTAGCTAAATAAAGCAGTTTTAGTGTATAGATCATTCCACTGCAATTTCACTGCTCAATTCACTGTCATTTAGGAGTTAAATCACTTTGTTTCTGTTTATGCAGCCCTAGCCACACCTCCCCTGGCTATGATTGACAGAGCCTGCATGAAAAAAAACTGCTTTCACTTTCAAACAGATGTAATTTACCTTAAATAATTGTATCTCAATCTCTAAATTGAACTTTAATCACATACAGGAGGCTCTTGCAGGGTCTATCAAGCTATTAACATAGCAGGGAATAAGAAAATCTTAATTAAACAGAACTTGCAATAAATAAAGCCTAAATAGGGCTCTCTTTACAGGAAGTGTTTATAGAAGGCTGTGCAAGTCACATGCAGGGAGGTGTTACTAGGGTTCATAAACAAAGGGATTTAACTCCTAAATGGCAGAGGACTGAGCAGTGAGGCTGCAGGGGCATGTTCTATACACCAAAACTGCTTCATTAAGCACTGTTCAGATGACTATAGTGTCCCTTTAAAATAACATAAAATACATAAAAATTAAAAATAAAAATACAGCTGTGCCATAAAATAGCACTAGATGGAATCTTTGATTTTAGCTTTGTAAGAACATAAATCAAAATCTAAAGCATGGCTGTCAGGAGGATCAACAGAATTATCCATTTAAGAGAGGGTTGGAGTGCAGGGTATTCTCTTTCATTGTTCAAACTGAGCTTAACTCCTGATGCATGGGAAAAAGGCCTTCACAAGCCTTTGCTATTGTGTACATAGTTTATACTAAGTGACCCATAGGTTGAGGAGACGGTGACCGTGGCAGTGTAGGTGGAAGCGGCGGTGGAGGAGGTAGCCAACTCTGTTTTTTATTTGTTTTTTGTTTTTTTTGTTGGGGTAGCCCCCAAAATATTGGAACATATAAAAAAAAGAAACATTTTCGGCCTGCGGTGTATTTCTTGCAGTCCAATAACGCCATCAGGTTTTTAAAACTGTCCGTCTCCACCAGACGAAATGACAGCATTTCGAAGGCCAGGAATTTTGAAATGCTGGCATTCAGGGCCAGGGATCGTGGGTGGGTAGGGGGGTACTTCCTTTTTCTCTCCAGTGTTTGGGAGAAGTGAACACTTCCATGGGACAGTGTGGAGATGCTGGACAATTGTGTACATGGCCTATCCTGGTGCAGGAACCCACCCTCCGCGCCACTTGTGAATGACTGGCCTGATAACCATGGAAATGACCCCTCTTCCTCCTCCTCTTCCTCCTATGCCACATCCTCTTCCATCATCGCACTGGCCATGTTGGTGGAGTCCTCGAAACAGCGCAACATGGCACACAGGTCTCGCATGGAGGCCCACTCATTGGTGGCGAAGTGGTGCTGTGGTGTAGAGCGACTGACCCGTGCATGCTGCAGCTGAAACTCCGCTATTGCCTGCTGCTGCATTCTCTCCAGCATGTGCAAGGTGGAGTTCCACCTTGTGGGCATGTCGCATATGAGGCGGTGAGCGGGAAGACCGAAGTTATGCTGCAGCGCAGACAGGCGAGCAGCACCAGGGTGAGAACGCCAAAAGCGCGCACAGACAGCCCGCACTTTCTGCAGCAGCTCTGATATATCTGGGTATACACCGTGGCAGTGTAGGTGGAAGCGGCGGCGGTGGAGGCAACACTGTTTTCTATTTGTTTTGGTTTTTTTTAATTGGGGTAGCCCCCAAAATATTGGGACATATAAAAAAAGAAAAAAAAGAATAAGTGCACTTGAGTATAACAATGACTGGGTGAGGCCGGTATGAATGTCTATTCTGCACAAAGTACAGACAAGTCTTGTGGGATCCATGCCTGGTTCATTTTAATAAATGTGAGCTTGTCCACGTTGGCCGTGGACAGGCGGCTGCACTTGTCTGTGATAACCTTGTGCCGATCGCACGTCTCCGTGATGGCGACAACGCATTCGGATGTCTGCCCTTTCAACTTTCGATGCAATTTTCCGTGCCTACCATGGTGACCACAGGTAACAGGGAATCAGGGTCCGATTCAGAGAGGGAGCCTGAGAAACGGCTACCACATGCAAGGAAGGCAGCAAGCACGCAAATTACCCACTCCCGACGACAAATAACAATACACTACTCTTTCGAGGCCCTGTAATTGATCCTTTAACTTGGATCAATTGGAGGGCAAGTCTGGTGCAGAGCGACTGACCCGTGTGTGCTGCAGCTGAAACTCCACTATCGCCTGTTGCTGCTCGCTGAAGCTGCATCAAGGTTCTGTTATGTGGCCGCACAAACGCTGGTGCTCAACACCAGGGGGCGTGCGTTTACCCTGCACCAAACCCTGCTAATCCATTCCACACTGTGACTCCTAACTTCAGCATCGTCCGACCGCCACCCCAGACAGTGTCTGGGTGCCGGTCACCAGACTGCCCTCGTGACTGTGAAACTGCGAATGGCTCATTAAATCTGTTTTGCTTCCTTTTATCACTCCATCTGTTACTTGGACAACTGTGGGAATTCTAAAGATAATACATGCCAACGAGCGCTAGGGGACGGCCGCTCCACTTTTGCACCCAGCTCCCTCTTATGCTGTGCTGGTGCCTCTGTGCGACCAGCGCATCTTCCTCGAAACTGCACACGTCACTTGAATGACCTTCATTCCACATTGTTTTGGTGTTTGATTTTTAACTTTGTAGTTGTGTCTACACAATATAGAAATGTATATTAATGCTTCTGTATATGAAGCGATCACAATAACACTTATTTTTCACTTTTTTAAAAAGTCTTTAGACTTTCTTGAGAAGCGTTAACTAGCCAGTGTTGCACACATACAACAGATATGAAGTGCAGGCACCAAATTGATTTTTTAGCACCTAAAGAATTTGAATGTTTAAAAATGCGCTGTAAGCACAGTATTTGAGGGTTCATTTTGACTTTCAGATATGAAGTGCAGGCACCAAATTGACTTTTTAGCACCTTAAGAATTAGAATTTTTAAAACTGCTATGTAAGCACAATATTTGACGGTTCTATTTGACTCTCAGATATGAAGTGCACCGCAGGCCGTAAATGTACTATTTAGCAGCCAAAACAAGTTGAATTTTTCAAAGTGCGCTGTAAGCACAGTGTTTGATGGTTCTATTTGACTCTCAGATATTAAGTGCACCGCAGGCCGCAAATGTACTATTTAGCACCCAAAACTATTAGAATTTTTCTAAGTGCGCTGTAAGCACAGTGTTTGACGGTTCTATTTGACTCTCAGATATGAAGTGCACCACAGGACGCAAATGTACTATTTAGCACCCAAAACAATTTTAATTTTTCAAAGTGTGCTGGAAGCACAGTATTTGACGGTTCTATTTGACTCTCAGACATGAAGTGCACCACAGGACACAAATGTACTATTTAGCATTAGCACCCAAAACAATTAGAATTTTTTAAAGTGTGCTGTAAGCACAGTATTTGACGGTTCTATTTGACTCTCAGATATGAAGTGCACCGCAGGACGCAAATGTACTATTTAGCATTAGCACCCAAAACTATTAGAATTTTTCTAAGTGCGCTGTAAGCACAGTGTTTGACGGTTCTATTTGACTCTCAGATATGAAGTGCACCGCAGGACGCAAATGTACTATTTAGCATTAGCACCCAAAACAATTAGAATTTTTCAAAGTGCGCTGTAAGCACAATATTTGACGGTTCTATTTGACTCTCAGATATGAAGTGCACCGCAAGACGCAAATGTACTATTTAGCATTAGCACCCAAAATGATTGGAATTTTTCAAAGTGCGCTGTAAGCACAGTGTTTGACGGTTCTATTTGACTCTCAGATATGAAGTGCACCGCAGGACGCAAAGGTACTATTTAGCACCCAAAACTATTAGACGTTTTCTAAGTGCGCTGTAAGCACAGTGTTTGACGGTTCTATTTGACTCTCAGATATGAAGTGTACCGCAGGCCGTAAATGTACTATTTAGCACCCAAAACAATTAGAATTTTTCAAAGTGTGCTCTAAGCACATTATTTGACAGTTCTATTTGACTCTCAGATAGGAAGTGCACCGCAAGACGCAAATGTACTATTTAGCATTAGCACCCAAAACAATTAGAATTTTTAAAAGTGTGCTGTAAGCACATTATTTGACGGCTCTATTTGACGCTCAGATATGAAGTGCACCGCAGGACGCAAATGTACTATTTAGCATTAGCACCCAAAACAATTTGACTTTTTCAAAGTGCGCTGTAAGCACAGTGTTTGACGGTTCTATTTGACTCTCAGATATGAAGTGCACCACAGGCCGCAAATGTACTATTTAGCACCCAAAACTATTCAAATTTTTCAAAGTGCACTGTAAGCACAGTGCTTGACAGTTCTATTTGACTCTCAGATATGAAGTGCACCGCAGGCCGCAAATGTACTATTTAGCACAAAAAAGTGTGATTTTTTTTTAAACCAACAATGTAACAGTAGTATTTAAGTGTTTTATTAGACTGCAAGAAATGCAGTACGCAAATAGCACCCAAAAAATTGCAGTATTTAAAAATGCCTAGATGTTGCCCACTGAGCTACCAGAACAGGATTAAAGTCATGTGCCTGGCACACATGCAGTTGCAAGTGCAACGCACTCTCTGTGGCACTGGGCTCAGGACTGGGTACAAAAATGTAGTAAAGCACCCACTAAAATAATCGCTGTAGTTTGAATAATCGCTGTAGTTTGAATAATCGTTGTAGTTTGCAGATTCAACACCAGAATTCTTAACTAAGCTGTCCCTCACAGCTGCAGCATCCTGTCCCTAGACTAATAAGAGCTCACGTGACGTGCGGCGCTACGTGACTCCAGCTTACATATAAAGGCTGGGTCACATGCTGCACTGGCCAATCACAGCCATGCCATTAGTAGGTATGGCTGTGATGGCTTCTAATGGCAAACGAGTCAAACGCTTGTTGGTTGGCTGCCCTGCAGCCTTTCAAAACGCGCCATTAAATCGCTGAACACCGAACTCAAACCCGAACATACCCTGAAATGTCAGTGTTCGGGTCCAGGGTCCAAAAACCGTAATGTTCGGTACGAACCTGAACTTTGCGGTTCGCGTTCGCTCAACTCTAATTATATATCATTTTGTTCAATGGAAACAGGGCTTTCACGTCACATCAATTATTTATATATTAAACATAATTTAATATGATTAAAATATAAAAAATGTGAGAAGTTAAGAAATATTGTTATTTTTAGTTCTGCATGGCATTTTAACTGTGAATGTAATAATGCTGTTAGCTGTGACTGCAATAAAATACACATTTGTATTCAGTGATGTCTCACAAGTAAAACAGTACCCCCATGTACGGGTTTTATTGTGTTTTGGAAAGTTACAGGGCGAAATATAGCACATTACATTTTTCAGTTTATATACATTGAAAGTTGCCAGATTAGCAGTTGCCTTTGAGACCGTATGGTAACCCAGGAATGAAAATGACCCCGTAACAGCATACCATTTGCAAATGTAGACAACCCAAAGTATTACAAATGGAGTACGTCCAGCCTTTTTAGTAGCCACTTAGTCAGAAACACTGGCCAAAATTAGCATTTAAATTAGTTTTTTTGCATTTTTCACACACAAACAAATATTAATGCTAACTTTGGCCAGTGTTTTTAACTAAGTGGCTACCAAAAAAGACTGCACATAGCTTTAATAAAAAATATAAAAGGAAACTGTGAGTGGGCAATTGATTACACATTTTTATTTTTTGAAATTCCCTTTTTTCAAATTAAATGACGTCAGGTGCTACTAGGCACTTTTGTTTGTGGAAAACTTAAGTACAGTCTCGGATGCTACAAGCTGTGTGGGGAAGCTTTGTTCTTCTCATGATGTAAGGGGTGAGTGGGTTGTCAATTGCCCACTGGCTTTTTCATTTTTTTTTTTTATTATTATCTTTTTTCAACTTAAAAACCCTCATACTACAGGTTTTCATTATTGTAATTTAATATTAAAGGAAATAAATAAATATTTACAAAAAAAAATTTAGTCATTAGTATATAAATAAATTCACTCATTTATTTATTTGTAATACAATTACAATAATATAATTATGACAAGTTAACAATTTAGAATTGGCATTGCAAAAATGGCTGACACTGCATTAAGCTAGACAATATTGTTCAGGCACTCACCTGAGCATGCATACATTATAGGGTGCTGCTGGGGCCAAAATATACAAAATACAGAGTTCAGCACACTCGCTTATTCACAATAAGTGCGCTGGATTCTGTATTTTGAATATATATGTATATATATCTAAAGCACAGTCCAAAAAGAGTCCAGTAAAACCTTAGGATGAGAGAACAATCACAGTTCTATCTGAGGTAGAGACGTTAATGGTAGGGATGTGCATGGGGAAAATATTCGATTTGGTTCAGCATTCCGAAATTCAGGACTTCGGCAATTCGGAACTTTGGCAATTTCGACACTTCGGAACTTGGGTACTTCGGCTCTTGCAACTTCGGAATTTCGGAACTTCAGCATTTCGGAATTTCGGGACTTCGGTATTAGGGAGTTATCTACCAAAAGGCTGAAAGACCTAAATTGGTCTTTCAGCCAAATTTACTAATACCATGTAAAAATTACTTAGTATTAGTCAATTCTGCCCTGTGGCTGCCCACTGTAAAAAAAAAAATGTGTCCTCCCTCCCGGCCCCCACCCCTGAGCAGCGGGTGTGGGCCCTAAAAAAAATAAGGGGGGGGACTTATTGTACCCCCCCCCGGCCACCACCCCTGAGCGGCAGGTGGGGGCCCTAAAGTAAATTAATAGTGCGGGACCTATTGTCCTCTCCCCCAACCCCCACCCATGAGCGGCAGGTGGGGGAACCTAAAGTAAAATAATGGGGGGGAGCTATTGTCCTCCCCCCGGCCCCACCCCTGAGTGGTGGGTGGGGTCCCTAAATTAGCAAAAAACAACCGGACTAGGAGAAGCTAAAGGAACACTCAAAAAGGGGGTAACCCATGCGCCCAAGCGATAGTAGTAAAGAAAAGAAAAAGAAGAGTGACCTAACGATAAAATATAACTTTTAATGAATATATTAAAAACGGTGAGTATGTAGGGATAAATATCCAATACCGAAATTCTATGTCATTGAGAGTCAGTATAGAAAATAATCCTATAATACAATATATAATATTTCTCTCTAATGGAAACTGCCCAAGAAATACTATAGTGACGGCAAGAGACCAGAGAAGAAATAT